CTGCAACATGCCAGACTGTTTCTTTCCAAAAAGGCAGGCTGGTAGAATGTCCTCTCTGCAGGACTCCAACTGCATCTGTCCAATGGGCCCGGTTCTTAGAAAGAGGGAGAAACGGGGGTTATACAGGCAGACTTTTTCTCCAAAAGGGGGCAAGGGAAAAGACAAAGAAGCTACTGAAGTTGCCCCTGTGTGTTTGGGAAAACAATGCCAACGCGATGGGACCCAAAATATTGGAACCCACCCTAACCCTAACCCTAACCCTTAACCCTAACCCTAACCACAACCCTAACCACAACCCTAACCCTAACCCTAGATTAAGAAGGTCAGGAAGTGTATCTCCTTGTGTCATTCATATTTGCCAGGAATCAAGGAAGAATTTCAGACCACAAGCAGATCATCTGCATTTAATCTTCTTATACTGCTGTAAACGTAACATGTATTTTTGTCAGAGAGAGTGGTAAGATGAGTTGCATGTAAAGAACAGCAAAAGTTCTGAGAGAGTGCTTTCAACACTTTGATAGAAAAAAAAAAGACAAATTTGTTTCTCTAACGGCAATTGTTCATTTAAAACAGATGTACCTAAGCGGACTATATTTGGACTCTGACGCTCAGGAGATTTGCTCCTGTAAGTATGGGTGAGGCCACCACAAAATTCCAGGGCTACAAGTTACAGTGAGAAACAGAAAATCATCTCTGGAGTAGGACATCGCACAACATTTCTGTGCTATTGGCCCAAAACTTATTTGGGTGCATCCATCTTGTTACCAGGAGTTGTGCTAGACTCAAGGGAATGCTTACATTTACTATGAAATTACATCAGGAAACTGATTGAAGCTTTGGCTGCTCTGTACAAGATAGAAGAGTACCTTGGACAGAGCCAAGGTAATGCAGCGATAAATCCTCATGCTGTATGTTGTTGGAAGGCGAAGTTACTGATTTGCTAAGGACAGCAGCAGACAAGACAGACAGAGCCCTGTATTTTTTCCATCTATAAGATGCTCCCGTGCATAGGATGCCCCTCCTTTTCTTACCCAAAATTCAGAAATCAATATTTTAAGCCAGGGGTCTTCAAACTTGACAGGTTTAAGACTTGTGGACTTCAACTCCCAGAATTCCTCTTCCAGTCAGGTTAGCTCAGGAATTCTGGAAGTTGAAGTCCACAAGTCTTAAACCTGTCAAGTTTGAAGAGCCTTGTGATAAGAAATTGGAAATTTTGTCCATGAGGTTAGTTTGCAGAGATAAACTATCAGTTTCGCGACCACGGTTCTCCTCTTGCCCCTCTTGCCCCGTATATAAGACACGCCTCCAGTTTTAGGTAAATATTTTAAATAAACAATATCGTCTTATACACGGAAAAATATGGTATATATTTTTGTGTTTGGGTGCAGCTTTTCTCCTTCAAGAAGTCAGTGATGAGACTTGCAGAATATCTCCAAATTCACATTTGATAGCAAATCCAGGCACGTGGTTTTGAGGACAACAGGATTGTTTTCAGAACTGCACACAGAAACCATTTTTGGAGTGTGAGTCATCGTCATTAAGGGAGAACATAGGTGTTCCATGCTAGCTTCAATAGATGTAATCTGTTAGCATCGCTGTGCAATCTAAAGACAAACTGGAAAAAAGCCTTTGGCTCTGTAATATTTTGGATAACAGTTCCCCAGGGACAACAGGCAAAGAGATATTCATATAATGCCACTCTGAAGCATTTATTCAATGGATGAGGAAAAACACATTTGCTGAACAGTTTGGCATTTTTCTTTATATGCATTTAAAATATACTTTAGAACATACTGTTCATTACCCTCCCTCTTTCCATCAAAGATTATATATATTATTACCTTATATATTACTAGGATTAAAAACCCATTTTAATGGAAAAATAACAACTTCATATTGGTAGAATATAAGGCCATTGACTTGTGCAATACATTCTTCATTTAACAGGTAGGAAATTTCATTTGATTTTCCTGTTATATTAATTCACGTATTGATTAAACTGGGTAGGTTAAGTCGTTTTTTTCACATAACAGTATCTTGCTGTGAATTTTACAGCGGTTTCCTATATATATTATACTGTACCTTTCTATGACACAAATCAAGAGTTTACAACAAAGCAGTTGTGTATCAATTGATCTATTCTTTAAAAAAAACATTTTTACATCAGAAATAAGAAGATAACGATGCTATTATTTATTATATTTGTGCTTTGCTGACATATGAGAAACATGAGATTCCAAGTGACTTCCCAGTATTATTTATGATGAATCAATTTTTCAAATTTTCACTAACATTTCCACAGAATATCCTCCTTGTTACATTTTTGAAGTTGTGCTTTCACAGCGATACTGCATGGTTTCATTGAAAAAGGCTGGTATATTGTATGTGAAATAATCTCAAAACATAGAAGCATTTTCTTTGCTTTGTAGTAAAAAATGTTTTTAGAGTCCTTTGGATTCTCTAATCTTTTATTGGAATTTAGCAGGTTCAGAAAAGGAACCAGAATCCCAATAAATATATTCATAGAAGAATGTGGACATGCTCTTCAACAGTGTTTCCCAACCTTAACAACTTTAAGACGTGTGGACTTCAACTCCTAAAATTCCCCATCCAGCATGACTGATTGAGGAATTCTGGGAGTTGAAGTCCATCTGTCTTAAATTAAGTTACCATGGTTGAGAAGTTATTGGGCTCTATCCAATCCTGAATGCATTTCTGGTCACCGCCTCCTCTTTCTCCTTCATCCTATAGCGCTCCACCTCTTTGAAGCAGACTGAATGGCTTATGAAAGAGATGATTTGATTATGATAGTGAATATTCTTCCAGGGATTGATACCCATTTATCCTACTTTCCCTGGTTTGGAAGCACACCGCTACTTAGCATCCTTATTAAGTCAGCAAGGATTTCAAAAGAAAATAGATTTATTTTGCTTCCATGAGCTTTCTTTCCTTGTGGAAATTTGTAGGAATGACTTTGGCTGCATAGAACGAAAGAATTTGTTTCTAGTGCAAAGTTAAGGTTCTAGTTTATGAAATAAATAAAAAGAAATGAAAGAAGAAAACTCTGGAAATTCTGAAAGATACTGTTTTCAGCAATATCAATAGCCACAATGGCCTTTTCCCACATAAATCTACCTATTCAGTTGATTTGATATGAATTACACATATCAAGGAAGGGATACTTTCTAAATGCCAAATAAGCTGAATTAAAGTTTGTCTTGGCTAAATTCCGATGGGTCAACACTGATCAAATTGCAAGGAATTGCTGTTGTGTAAATATCCATGTTTTTCTGAATATTTTCAGTAATTAAATTTGAAAACACACACACAAACATTTCCTGTACTACAGGAAATATACATGTTTTCACAAATGAACATTAATACATGACAATTACATTTACCTAATCAGTGATATTCATTAATTTATATCTGATTTTTCAGGCATACTCAAATTTTCTCCTGGAACATTTCCCCTATGAAAGTAGACTGTTTCATTACCAAATTTTGAGATTTGCATGACTTCATTGAATCCGTATGCTGCTGAAATACATTATTGTTGTCACATAATGCCTTCTATTTTTTCCACCATCATATTTCTGTTTAAGCTACCTGGATACAAGAAGAACCTTTCTTTTAATATTTAAGGGATGTCTTCAGTCTTTCTTTATATGAACTGTCCAAAGTGATCCTTGATTTTACAACTCTGTTTGGAACATGGTACTATTCTCTTGATCAAAGTTTAGAAGACCCTTCTCATGTTCTGCTCACTTAGGAAGATTCAATTGCTTCGATAAGAGCATTTGGGATTTTATTGAAACAGCTAGATCTCATGGCAATCACGCATTAATTTAGAGCTGTAATTACTCAACTGTGGAATCTTGAAGATGTGTGGATGCCAACTCCCAGCATGCTGGCTGGGGAATTCTGGGAGTTGATATCCACACATCTTCAAGTTGTCAAGGTTGAGTAATACAGATTTAGATTCTGGCTTCACTTATAACAAAGCAGAGAGGATGCTTTCCAGGGCACTGGGCCTTCCTAGGAACAAGATACTAACCTCTGATAACTCAGAAAATGACAGAAGTCACAGAAACATTATTTCCAGGGTCAACAGTTCTTGGAAATCTCATATAGGTAGTTCTTGACCTATGACCATGTGCTTAATGACCATTCAAAATTATAACGATGCTGAAAAAATTGTCTTATGCTAACTTTTGCCCTTATGATCATCACAGTGTGCTTGTGGACATAATGAAAGTTTGGGCATTTGGTAACAGGCAAGTATTTATGCCAGTGATGATTCTGGCAGCAGTGATGCAGAGGTCCTCGAGGAGCCTGTGCCCAGTACATGTGTGCGCAGGACTGCTTGAAGGAAAGAGCAGCTGCAGCAGCACAGGTGACCTGGGAGTAAGGCTACAAGGTAATGGCCCCTCCCTTAAGAGATAAAGGCCAGCTGAGAAACCGGAGTTATTTGCAGGAAGCAAAGAAGTTTTGCACTCAAGCCTTGTGGATATTCGGAGTATCTTGGTTGGTGGTTGGAGACTCTTTGTGTTTGAAATATTTCTTAGTAATAGTATTCTTGGCAGTCTTGCCCAACCTTGGCAAGGCTCATTTTTATCAGAGACAATTAGCTTGAAATAGCCTTTTAACCATGAAAGAACGGAATTTGTACAGAATCATTAAAAGGTTTTGCTGTTACCTCTGTTTCGTGTTTGTTTCCTTGGGACAAGGTTTGGGTCAGAGCATGATGTCATGTAAATGCCATTTGTGACTTTGCAGGGAGCTTCCAACAACCAAAGTCGATGGGAAAAGCCCTATTTGTGTAATGATAATGATGATTCAGTTAACAACTGTGGCAAAAAAGTCATAAAATCAGGGACAACTTGTTTAATGACAGCATCACTTAGCAACAGATGTTCTGGTCCCATGTGTAGTCATTGGTTGAAGTCTACTTCTATCACTTTGATGAGGTCACTGCTCTTCATTCACATTTATTTTTAAGGCACATACCTCTTATGATGGTTTCTCCAATGTGGAATTCTCCAGCTACACGAGGATTGTAACTTTCAGTATGCTGTAGCCCCAAACACATGGAAGACGCTAGTGGGAAAAGTCATTCAGACAGGGCTTCCCCTCTCTGAATGTATGGTGACTAGAGCGTCCTAGAAAATCTCCTTTTCTATCTCACCCAGAAACATTCTCAAAAAGAAAATAGGTTTGGCTATTGTGGAAGGATTTGATTATAAAATGCCACAATTAATGCCAGTGAATTCCTAGTACCAGTGCAAAATTCAAAATATTTTAATCCTGAGTTGGATTTCAATTTGGTGGTAGATTTTTAGGGGATTGAGACTTTGTTTAAAATATATTAAAAGAATATTCATTCACTGCTAATAATATCCAGTATTACAATGGTCTCTGGCAAATCTGATGGAAATAAATTTATTCTTTCACAGTGAAATTAGCATCATTTATCTAAGTTATAGCTTAAGCATAAAAATGCTAATATGTATTTCAAACTGTAATGGGTCTTCATTTAGAATATTGAATAAAAGCAGAATGCAAAAAAACTCGTTAATTGCATATACCGATGTATATCATATGCTAACAAACCTCTTTGCTTTATGGCCTCTTTTAATTATTTGCTTTAAATATGGGAGGTCAATCAATGTCCAAAATGAAGGAAGTTTGATTGTTAAGTTTGGACTAAATGATATTTCCTTTTTGTTTAATTAGTGTCATTTACAGAAGAATTTTATTCTTGGTACAACGACCTCTGGATGCTCAAAATGGGGAAAAATAGAGGCAAAGTTGTTGTAAAGGAAGTAGGATTATTTCCAAGTAGGAAAAAAAGCAATAATTCAGACTCAACCAGGTCTGCAAGAAGTCTATAATTTAAAGGGAATATCCTAACCCAATTAGATAATAGGTATGAATATATGCAAGTTATGTAGAATTTTGAAGATAGGGAAAAATCCTGTCTAAAGGCCAAAGAAACAAAAACAACATGCAAGGCATTTTTGTTTTTGTTCAAATATTGATTTCTAAATATGGAAAAAAATAAGCATGCTTCAAAATGTATATAACATTGGGAGCTGTGGGATGACTATAATATGGGCTTTGTAGTATGTAAGCTGTTTTATAGCTAATTGCAGTATGATCCTATACATATTCCTCAGAAGTAAGGCTCTTATAGTTGAGTGGACTTACTTTAAGGTAAGCGTATGCCTGCAGCCTAACAATAGGGCACCTTATAACACTAATATTAAGAGCCCTCTTTGGGTGCAAGATTCGTGAGTATAAGGTCACACTTTTTAAAAATTCTATTGTTTAGAAGCAGTTTCTATCTGAAGTGCTACACTTAACTAGTTTTTGGGTTGGCTAATTGCTTCATTTGTATGAATTCTTAGCAAACTGATCAGTCACAATTTTATTTTTTGGCATTGGGTCTGTGTTTTGTGACTACCAGCCACCCTTAAAACACTGTATTCAAAATCAGGGACTTAGGGGTGTATGTAGGGGATCCAAAAAATTAGATGGTGTTATGGGAGAGTGATGGAAACGGCCATCTTGACTTTTTCAAGAGTCTTTCCCTTTCCACATGCCCCTGCATTTGGTTTCTCCTTCCTCAGAATGATTACCACTGCAAATGTCCTTCTTGGTACCTTTCAGACAGCTATCCAAATCTTAACCAAGTGCCTGTTTAACTGCCTTAAAATCTCAGCAGGAAAATGGACACATCTTTTTTACTTAACAACTGAAAACTAGGTCACTCTTCTTCATAACCCGTGGAGTAATAACTCAACACAGCACAAAATTTGTTGCAGTACATTCTATACCGCATGGTATGATGCTGCATTGAAATCTTGGCTCTCAATATCTTTACTGTTTATCAATTATATGAGCTGTGAACCTTAAATGTTTCAGCATGTCTTTTCCGTTCCCTTTCACAGTTCTAGTATCTCTTTATTTTCAGGGAGAATTCGAACCTTTTTTCTCACAGTTCTTCGCTTTCTACCACAGGCTGGGAGGGAGAAGAAAAGCGTGCTGGACTCTCAGCGGGGGAAAAAGCAGAGAAAATGTCAAGTCCTTGTCCCATCAGATGTGCATACCGGGTGCTGCTTGAGCGAAACTTGATTGGCTGAGATATTTGTTGATGCCACTGAGCTGGAGCAGAAAAAAAAATGGCATGAATTCAGGATATGACTACTGAGCGTATCTTTTAGGTTTTTATAATGGCTGTAAAAAAGTTATCCCTAGTTTGTATGTGAGAAGTCTAAGGCAGATTATAGAATTGCATGCTAAATGCCCTTGAAGTTGCTCCAAGAACTTTAGGTAGCTGGAATGATGTGAAATTTCCAATTCTATTTTAACATATTACTATAAACCTCTAATGCCCTAAATGCTTTTGAGCCTAAACTTTTATTTCAACATCTCTCTTGGCATGCAGTAGCTGGTCCCTTGAAATCTAAGGAGAGCTGGGTCCTCAGGGCTATTATTTAAGCAAGGTTCTTCCCATTGATGGTCCTTATAGTGTAGAACATCTTGCCTTCAATGATGCATCTTTTCTGTTCAATTTCATAAACTCTTAACGAACGCTTCTTCTTCTAGAATTTTGGTTCCTCCTAATGCCTTTGCTCCTGGCTGTTACAAAGAACTTCACTATATGGTATTAAATTTTTAATGGTTTTGTTGTCATATTTCATGTTTCATGAACCAAGGACGGGTTTCCCGACACTGAGAACAATTAATCAACCGGACAGCTTGCCTCACAAAGTCGGAGGTGCTCCATCACTAGAGATTTTCAAGAAAAGATTGGACAGCCATTTGTCCAGGATGGCATCAGGACTTCAGCCTTGGGCAGGGGGTTGGACTAGAAGACCTCCAAGTTCTTTTCCAGCCCTATGATTTTATGATGCTGTCCTGAATGATGAGCAGTAAGCAAAAAGTAGTAATCAAGCAAACACAGAATTCCTGCTTGATGCTTCCATAGTATTTGCTGACTCAGTTTTCCATCCTTTGGAGATCGATACAGATGAGGATATACAGATTATTGGGGGCAATATGTTGACACGGTAAACCACTCAGTGGTATATCTGCCTAAGGGCTATTGCTATTGCTAAGGAATAACATTAACTGTAGGTCAAAGATATACCATTTTCAGGAACCGGGGAGCCTTTTTAAGGTCAAGTGCTACATTTAGCTAAGGAGAATTTCTGGAATTAATGTTTTAGGTACTTAGTAGAAGAACCCACCTCCATTTGCAAATGGAATTCTTTCTCCAGCCTGACTGCCACTAAAAAGAGGCAAGGTTCAAGAAAGGCAGGGAAGGCTGGTGATAGATTTGACCCAAAGGTGTGATGGATCTCATCTGGTTTGTGGTCTGGCAGTTACCTTCCTTGTTGCTATTTTTAAATAACTCCCTATAGAATCAAATTGATCTTTCTTGAATTATGACTAGCTTCTGCTTCTTCCCTCTAAGGACTGGCCTAGTGCCTCAGCAGTTTCAAGAAATTTAGAGGCAACTATTTTGTATGTAGCCCCAGTGAAAGAATTTGCAATCCAAGACATGCATCCCTGAATACTTGCCGTTGGTGGGCAAAACTCTGAAAGTTGTACTTTAGTACCTTTTATAAAATGTCACCAATCTTATGAATGGAACTGTAGGATTGCATTGGTTTCTTTGTTATTACCGTAATCAATGAACTGTCTAGACTGAAATAAGTGCAATAAAACTGAGCAATCATTTTAAAAGAAATTAGACAAGTTCTATGTAGTTCTGAATAAGGAACTATTAATATAAGGTTTCAACTGAGTTTCAGATTTTATTAGAGATATTTAAGACTCTGCTGCCTGAAAATCTTCACTCTATTATCCATGGTCACTTACAACTCTCCAGAGACTGTGCCCAAGACTCAGGAACTCAACTCAGCTAGAATGTGATTCGTCTCTTCTGAGCAAATCAACCAAGTAAGTTACACAATATCTAATCTAAGTATCTAATCTAATTCTAAAGAATTCGATTAAACATCTAATAATATCTAATTTAATTCTAATGAAGAGCAACAAGGATGATTGAGGGCTGGAGGCTAAAACTTATGAAAAACAGTTGCAGGAATTTGGTATGGCCACTCTAGAGAAAAGAAGGACTAGGCATGACATGATAGCAGGATCCCAGTATTTGAAGGGCTGCCACAAAGAAGAAGGAGAGTCAACCTGTTTTCCAAAGCACCGGAAGGCCAGACAAGAAACAATGGATGGAAACTAGCCAAGGAGAGAAGCAACCTAGAATTAAGGAGACATTTCCTAATGGCAAGAACAATTCACTAGTTGAGTGCCTTGCCTTTAGAAGTTGTGGGTGCCCCATTGCTGCAGGCTTTTAAGAAGAGACTGGACAGCCACTTGTCTGAAATGACATAGGGTCCCCTGCTCAGCAGGGGGTTGGACTAGAAGATCTCCAAGGTCCCTCCCAACTCTGTTATTCTAAGTGCTATGTTCTAATTCAAGAAAAAAAAGTCAAGTCCAATGCAGAGAGTGTTCAAGAGAAAAAAAAAACATGTCATGATGGGTAAACAGAAGAGATGACAAGTACAGAATTGAGACTGATCACAGATATAAATAACATATATTTTGTTCATTTACTATATCCCTAAAGTTTTGGTCACTTACCATATATGTCGAGTCTAGCAGTGCAAGAGACAATACCGGCTTCGTTTTTCGCAGACAAAGTGTACCAACCAGCATCTATTTTTTTGGCAGGCTGAATCAAAAGGCAAACATATCCTGTAGCATCTTGGTGCATACTAAGAAGAAGAAAAAATGATTTCAGTGTCATTTGTGACATGCTGGAGGATTTTAGTGATATCATTTAAGAAAACAACAGAAACATGATATTTATACTCTCTCCCTCTTCCTCCATCTCTCTCCCCACTTCTCCCTCTTAACTTTTGTGGGTATGTGTGTGTTTATGCAGAGAAGGACTTGCTTCGTGACCTTGGAGTTTTGCAATGGAAAATCTCAAGGACTCTTGAAGTATTTGACCAAATTCTCTTTTCAAAAAAATTTGCTCATTGTGCGCAGTCAATAACAGCAGTAATTTTAAGCAACACTGATATATTTTAAAACTTTTCAATCCACTGTAGTTTACAAAATCTTGCATACTTGATTTTTATCCTCCTATAATGTATCTCCAGTAGGACTTTACAATTTATCTGTAGTAATACATAAAAGTTCTACCTGTCCTTGGGGATTCTGCATTTCAGCAGAGGTATTTTTTTCCTAGATAAATGAATATTTATTACTATATGCAATGCACACCCTGCAATGCACACAGCATTTTAATTGTGCTTTACAGGAAGGGACACGGGGAACAGAGAAACCATATTTAAATGTTTCAGAAGTTGGCTGTGAACTGTTTCAAGAGTTATGTGTGCTAAAAGGTGCGACCCGTTCAGTGCAAAATAAATTAAAAGTTTGAGGCAATAAAATCTCACATCTCACATTTTTAGACAATCAAAGAGCAGTTTCCAAAAATCCCACGCTCACCTCATCCTCTCCCTGTGGGGAGGTATGGTTTCATTGTCCTTCTTCCAGAAAAATATGGGGGGTGGCATCCCAATTACCCTACATTCTAATCGGACAGGATGCCCTTCTGGCACCCCACAGTTCTGTAGTCTCTCTAGTATCACAGGGGCTTTTTTAACTTCCTTTTCTGAAAAAGAAGAAAGAAAGGACAGATTTATTGATTTATTTTGACCTTAGAATGGTTGAAATTGTTCAAAACAGTTTCTGGAAGACTCCCAAAAACTTTTGCGTGTGGCAGGGGTGCCTGCAGTAGGAGGATGTGCATCTGTGTGTGTTAAAAAAAAGTCCAGGATAGCTGTAAGTATATAATCAAGGCCCCACCCATTTTTTTCATATTGTCAGCTTTGGAAGCCATATTAGTACCAGAAGCTTCCACACTGCCACATTCCTGTGTCTGGGAAAGTAGGACGGGGAAATGGTAGAGTGTTAGTAGTTAGACATAATAGCATTCTTCTCTTGGGTCAAGGTCATGTTATTCCTGCACCTGGAAGATGAGTGGTTGAAGGGATGTCTCTAGCTGGGGTGGATGGTGATTGGACCACGGGATGGACTGATGGGTGCAGGGGTTGGTTTTGGACTTTTGAATTACTAAGGGAAAACCCAGAACTCTCAGATTCGGGTTTTCCCAGATGTGCCAGTATACTATTGTAATAAAATGAAACTTTGAGAAGATGCCTGTCTTGGAGGTTTTAATTGGACTTAAGAGCTTTTCTGGAACGCTGACATGTATGTTGTCCCTGATTGGCCAAACTCAACCTTTTGAATAAGGACATCCAATTTATTCAGTGTGCATCCTGGCCCTATAAACTCTGTAGGCTCTTCCTGAAATCCTACCTCCTTGCCGGCTCTTCAAGGAAGACCAGATCAAGAAATGGACAATAGGGATACTATTTTATTGTTACAAGGGTATATTAAACAGAATCGTGAATAGGCATCCAATATCTTCACTGCCCAATTTTTAGGACCACAAGGTCAAGGTAGGTCTGTTCTGAGTCTCTCTCCCATGCTTTCCTCTTTCCCAGGTCTGAGCAACCCTTTTCTTCTTTGACTCCCTTCTGAAGGCCAGTGAAGGCCTGTATACTTCACATTATTCAAAGGCTGTGCATATTCTACATGGAAAAGACATGGAGCACTGTAAATATCTATGTCAATATTCCAGATGTTTTGGCTACCTTAACAACTGTTCTTTCCAGAGCTGGATGACATAAAGATTCAGGGTTTGGCCAATGACATCTCATCCACTGGGAAGTAGCTCTGGCTCTTGAATTCAGTCAAGCTCCCCATCCATGGTACACAATTCATTCAGATAATGAACATTTTCATATGATTCAATTTTCAATCACAGGGGTTCTAGTTAACAAAGTACACAAATGGTCTAATGCTCAGGATGGATGAAGAAGAACATCTAATAAAGACTTACCTACAACAGACAGTTCCAAGCTGAAGGAATTTTGTCCTGTTTTGTTGGTGGCTATGCAGGTATAGATTCCAGCATCATTTTGTCTGAGAGGATCAATAAGTAAAGAATGTACTCCATTTTCTCTGATCAGCATTTTGTGAGTGGCATCTGGTAATACAGGCTTGCCATTCCGAAGCCACATCAAATCTGGTAGTGGTAAGCCACTTACCTAACAGGGGAGAAAACAGCCATAAGCAAATGACATACTTTTTCATATTAGGGACATCTATTCCAAATTCATTGTTTTGGAGAAGAAGTGATGTATGAAAACCAGGGAAATCATGCATCAAAGATTATGAACTATAATTGTGAACTATAATTGGTTGTATAAGCCTAAAAATTAACCATGGCTTATTAAACAATATTTGACTCAGATACAAATGCACCAAACAAACCGCAAGCATGCTCCCTGTGATGTGCAAACTGAATGCCAAAGAAAAACACAATTCAAAGCCTATATTAAATGCTAAAATCTTAAAATTAAAAATAGGCACATGCATCATCTAACAGCTGGAACCCATGTTAATGAGAGTCACCAATGGATGTTTTTCATGGCAGCGTCTGACATTTGTTGTAAATCTACCCATCGCTTTCCTTAACTTGTCTCAAACGAAAGCTCCCTGGTTGTGCTTGTGTTCTTAGAGAATATGAGCAAATACTAATGCAAATAATAATGCACCTCCCCCTGACCCCAGTACCTTGCAATCAAGTCTGCAAAGCCGGCCTTCATGGGCCACCATGTCCCCAGGGGCCTGCAGGAAATATGGCCGGAAAAAACGTTCCTGCAGAGGCTCCCGATCTCTTTCGGATACACGGGATCTTCCCCTGCATTTCAGACACAGCAGAATATTGGATAGGTGGACAGAAAGAAGAGCTTTTAGGTGTAAGAAAACATAGATTCCTGAACTTCACTGCTTAGAAATTAAGGCTTTCAAAACCCACAACTTGGAATTTATTTATTTAGGAGATTTATATTGCTGCCTATTTGCACATGGCGAATTTGCCAAGTAAAAACTCATGATTACCTCATAATCTATATTCCACCATCAGATAATTTTTATTTTTTTTACCTGTGAGACTGGATAGTTGTTGATAATCTACCCCGCAGTGGAGGAGTCTGAACCATCAAACGACCAGAACAGCTGATTCTTCCCTGCCAGAACATGCAAGAGAGAAGAAAATGTTATTTGTTCATTCACCGTGCATTGGTCATTCTTCATTGCTAGATCTCATTTGTGATAGATAAGGCAGATTTTTTTTTAGAAATAAGACAAAAATCTTACAGTTTTACAACTATAAATTTTATACTTGCAGTTATTGCAGTTTTTGCTAAGATTGAAAATCAACTGATAGCAATTAATCAATTAATCAATCATCATTAAAATGGACTTTCAAAATGTCTGCTTCTGTCTTCATCCTCTTAAGTTTAAACAATGTGTGTATGTATAAAGAATTCATACCTGAGGATTTGCAGCCATGAATGTATAGTTTCCATCATCATCATTTGTAGTCGTTTCAATATGCAAAGAACAAGTTCCATCCCCCGCTCGAATCATTTTGAAATGTCTATTCTTCTTTGAAATCTGTTTGCCATCCTTAAACCAGTATACCTGGGGGATTTTTAAAGAAAGATCTATTGTCGCCTTGTATTTATGACTATAATTCAATGTGGCTTAGAAGAAAATCTCATGGAATTCATTGGGATGATTTATTTGAGAGTAAAAGTACTGCATGAAACAACGAAGCAAATCGATTCTCAATTCAAGTTTAAATTTTGGAATAAACTAGCTGCACGACAGCCAGGCACTATTCTCTGAAACCAAGGGGCAATGCAGTCCATAAATCAGAGCTATATATGATCATTCATTTGTGCCTCCCCCAGAGCTCCTGATCTGCTTATCCCATGTTTGGGAATAGCTTTAAGGGTGGGAGTGGAACAAGTTGGCCCTTCAGAGACCTTCTTCCATCCCCGTCTCTAAATCCTGGTAGGAAAAAGCAAGTTTTCCAGGGGGTTTCCCATCTTGGTGATGCCACCAGTCACTGAGTGGGCTCTTGCAACTCCCTGGAAGGCTGGACAGCTGAATAATGGGCACTCCCTCTGATGGTAATTATTGATTGAAAAAATTCCTAAGGCTCCTTTCGCCATCATGGTGACCTCCAAGTTTGTTAGATTTCTGATCCTATGACTTGCAGAACTTATAGACCAAGTTCATGTCCATTGAGAGATAATGGGAGTTGGAAGGCCTCTAAATTGGGGAAGTATTTCCCACTGCATATCTGGGCAATGGCTGATGAGCATCATATTTCCTCTAGTATGTGATTAAGAAGGATCTACACACGGTAATTGGCCTCTTGCTCTTCTATGAAGCAGAAAAGTGAAGTGGAAGTAAAGCACAGAGACCAATTTATATTAGCTCTCCTAAAACACAGTGGTTCATCCTGAGGCAAGATCTTACCATTTAATAGGACTTAGAAATTGTCATGGCTTCTGTAGCACTCTAGGCTTTGAATATTTAAAACCATAGTCTTTCTGCAAACAAAATCTGTTTCTCTTCACAGAAGTGACTCTGATCCATCAGTGAACAAGAGTTTCTGCTTCTTAAGTCTTCTTAAATCTCCCCTGATTATCTACAGGAATTATAGGGATTTTTTTGGGGGGAGGGGGTGTATTCATAGCAACCTTTCCTTGCTTTCTGCAAATACAAATGTCATGGGGGCAAAGTCCTTTATATAGGAGTAGATCAAAGCAACTGATATGAAAAATTGCCGAGATGTATTTGTATTCTGCTGTCTGGAGGCCCTACCTTGGGTATGGGGATTCCAACAATTTTGCAAGTGAATGTAGCTGGATATCCTTCCAGGACACGGAAATGCTTGAGTCTTTTGTCAAAAATTGGAGCGATGCATTTGCCGGTAGGGATCTCATCATGTTGGATCTCATCATCTGATTCATCCACCGGGGTACGTTCAAGCCGGAACTCTATTTCATTCATTAATCTCTGCTCAAAGTTGGAAATTTTATATTCCTGAAAAATAGTAGTTGAATCAAGTCGATATATCTCACTGGGGCCTAATAAATATTTCTTGGTATACAGTTTTCCCCCTAAGTAATGGCTCCTATATGGTCAAAAACAATAATTAAAAAGATTCAAATGATTTGAGATTCGGCAAACATAAACCATAAGGACAAACAGCCTAAGTAGCATGGGAAATCTCTATTCTCTAACCTATTTATTTGTGCTCCAAACGATAGGAGGAATCCCCTCCCTAAATGTTTGTCATAGGATTCCATCAGAGAATAAACACACCTACATTTGGCTTTGCTCTCTATCTCTCATAGCAGAGGTCTCCAACCTTGGCAACTTTAAGCCTGGCGGACTTCAATTCCCAGAATTCCCCAGCCAGCAAAGCTTTGCTGGCTGGGGAATTCTGGGAGTTGAAGTCCGCCAGGCTTAAAGTTGCCAAGGTTGGAGACCCCTGTCTCACAGTCTGAAGGGTGGGATTAGAAAGGGGAAGGGGGAGGAATTTTGCTGCCTGACACTGCTGCTTCTCTACTTCCTCTGGTCTAGGGATGATTTCAGATTAGGCTTTTAAATAGGGATGCTTCTAGATACAAGATTATAATCCAACAATCAACTGACACTTCATTTCAGAGGGAGGAAGAGATTGTGCCTTCTTCTCTTGCCAATAGGCGACATTACTTCTGCAGTAGCCTAGATAAAGATTTGGAGATGTCTGTGTGTCTCACCTACCATCATTCAAGAGTTCTCCAGTGAGTGGCTACTTTTTGCAATCCCCAAAACACCCGCTGATCAAGTTTGCTGGAAATACAGTCTCTCACCATTTTGAAAATGAAAACTCATAAAATGTGGAATGTAAACTCTAAAATGGCTATACTGTAGTTTTATTTCTTAAAGCCCATGATCCCCTCACATAATGTGTGAGGTGGCTTTTGCAGCCTCCAGCATTTTGAAACATCCCTCAAGACCAAAATGCAATTCTCCTTATTTCAGGACAAACTCATATCAGAAGTATAAAAAGTGTGAATTTATTATGTTCTGCCCTTTAATCAGTTTACTTGATAACAACAGTTCAAAACTGGATCCTGAATGAAAGAAAATAGACATCATTATTTTTCTTGGTTTTTTTTTCACTAAAGGAAGAAGCACAGTAGAATTATCAGGCTGAAGAAACATCAATATTGCAAAAGAGGAATTCAAGGAACTTAAATGACTTATAAAACAATGTCCTTCACTTCAAAGCAATTGATGATATATTTAAAGGAATATTTAAATGTGAGCAACAATGAATGATTACATCACTATTTACACAGATTTCAGTGCAAACACTGACGTTTTTGGAAGCATATAAAAGAGTTGCTTTTTGTACAAGGTCACAGACCCTATGGGTGGAAAATAACAACAAGCAACTTCACTCAAGCATAATAACAAGAACAATACACATACAAATAAAGCAATAATCTGCTCAAAATAGAATAGGCAATCTAAATGTTTACCATGAGCATAAAGTATTTTATAATTTCCTGTTTGATTAATTCAATGTTTCCCAACCTCAGCAAGTTCAAGATATGTGGACTACAACTCGCAGAATTTCCATGCCCAAAACACTTAAGGTGGCAAATTAAATATTTGCAAGTCTACTTTTACCAACTTTTTACTTTTCTTACTATTGATTGATTTCAACTTTGCTCTGTTGAATGTTGAGATAAGGAGTTGAATCTCTGTCTACCTTTGATTCCAGTAAAAGAAAATGAGCTGAAGATGCCTGATTCATTACAATTTTTTTTAAGCCGGTGGAGGTGAGGGATTTGTACTAAATGGATCTCTGGTCTCAACAGCTCTTACTTTTTTGTATATCTTTGTACTAAGAGTTTAGAAAAGAAGATAAAAATCTAACAATAACTAATATAACAGAAAAAGTGAACCTAAGTGTCCATATGCCCAAGAAAAGCTCTTCCGCTGGGTAAATAATAACATCAGCAGGATGAAGTTCAGAGTAGGCTGAACTTGTACCCAAAATGTAGATCCTAATTGGAAATCTGCACAGTATATACGAGAGTTGTCCATCCCCACTTCTCAATTTAATAAGGATCCTAGAACAAGGAGAATCATCTTCAACTATCTCCATTAAGTTTTCTTAATTGAAATCCCTCCCTCCCAAAAAGCTGTTGGCCTGATGGGGAAATCATAAGGCACTTCCCCCCCACCAATATTTTCATCCCTAAAGCACTTCTTTGTGAAGTCATCTTGGCATAGTCCACATTTATCCACACATACGTATCCTCATCCTGACAACATGGGATGAGCTTGCAATCCTTAGCCTTCTGTTTTTTGCTTCTTTTGGTTGCTCTTCAGCCAAGGAAGAGAATAGCCCAAGAACAGAGAAGGGGCATTAGTAAAGTTAGTCAGACCATCCTTGTATAATTCACCAATCTAGAAGGACCCTTTGCAATGGAAGGTGAGGCAGAACTAATGGGAAAGAAGTCCTGGAGAAAAATCTCACGTCCTTTCTCTGAGGAAAAGCCTATTTCCAGATCTTCCTTATTGCACCTATTCTGACTGCTAAATAGCCCTTTAAAAGGAATGGTAACCATAAGATGATACAACCATGAAAAATGCAGCCGGAGATCCAGCTGCTAAGTGAGAGTCCTATTACTTTCAAGATTATTAGGTTAGCTTTGCTCCGTGGCTGCTCCCCAGTTGGCAGACAAACTCCAGGCTTATAAGGTTTCACCTTGTTTAATTTTGTCTTTCACAAAGGATACCTCAGCAGATTGCTTTACAAAATGAGCCAATTCTCATTCCAGTTAATAGATTCTCTTTGTTGTTATGTAGGGTTTTTAAAAGTAGGAAAGTGAAACTGCTGGTCTCTGCCAAACAAATATATTTATCCATAGTAACAATTTTGAGCAAAACCAGTAAATACAGCTACTGAAAACATTATTATTCTAAATCTCCATTATCCTTTAATTTAACGTCAGCCTAAACCAGAGCATTTCTCAGAAAACTGGTCTCCGCAACCTTTTGGTGCTAGTAATTTTACACTGGGGTGCCTGTAGAGCATGGTCAAAAAAGTCAATATGGCAAGCACAGCAGTGCGATAAAAGCTTGACCTGTTTTTTATGTATATCATACATAGAATACAGATTAAAAATAGGCAGACCTTGATCACACCATTGTGGCTACTATCCTTACTTTTTATCACATCCTCTAGACAACCCTGATTTTTAGTTTCAGAGACCCTGAAATATTTTAGTTTCAGTACCGTCACCATAAGGACTTGAGAATAATAGAAAGAGATGATATACATGGCAACACATCAGAAGGCTACCTTCCAAAATGCAAGAAACCTGGGCAGCTATAATGCTCATACAATGATTTCTGTAATATATAGATTTTATGTCATGGAACTAGAACATTTTTGCTCTATAGAAAATGTCAAAAGAATAGTCTATAGAACTGATTCAGGGTGGGGATTCTTAACTGCAGTTAAGGCTGTAAACTGAAAATACCATATATAAATTGAAAATGCCTCACGATAAAATATGGAAATGTTACTTAGCTTTAGAATGTAATGGTTTGTGAATCTTGAGTTTACAACATTAAGAGTTGAATTAACAACAGGTAACTCATAAGCTGCTTGAATGGCCTCTGGTCAGAAACTAAACCATATTCCAACAGGGTTTTAGAATTTGAATCTTACCGAATCCCCAGATTTCTTTGAACCCAGATTTCTTGTAATGAACACATTTGGCTGCTATTAAAATACTTACCATGAATAATCAAGCATGATCACAACTCACTTTAATGTAAGAAATACCCAACCTTGTTTAATGGCAGAAGTTAAATTTCTGGTTTTGCATTCTACTGAACATATGTACATATGAGGCACACATGTGTGGGAAAGGAAGGCTGTACCTGGGATACTTCCTCAGCGGTAAAGTTGAAAGTTGGGGAATGAGAGCTGGGTCCCTGTAGCCCGCAAGCCAGATTTTCATCATAGGCTGTTTTCTGGCGGAGGGAACGAGGAATGAGGAAAATTGCATGAGGAAAATGTTATGACATTTATGGGCATTATTTTATTGAAAGAATGAAGAAAGAACAGAAGGTAGTTTCAGAGGTAAAAGCAAACTTAGGATTTAATTGCTACTAGATAGTATAATTTATTTAAGTTAACTGAGGGAGTATAGAATATTTTAAAGGTTGCATATTATATATGTGCATATGTTTGCATATATGAATACAAACACATGGATACACACAATTGGTGGGCAACTGTGGGCTGCTATTAGAGAGTTGTGGTGGCACAGTGGTTAGAATACAGTATTGCAGGCTAATTCTTCTGTCAGCAGTTTGATTCTCACCGGCTCAAGGATGACTCAGCCTTCCATCTTTCCATGATTGGTAAAATACAGACCCAGATTGTTGGGGGGAATGTGGTGATTCTGTAAACTGCTTACAGAGGGCTGTAAAGCACTGTGAAGAGGTATATAAGTCCAAATGCTATTGCTATTTTTGTCTATTTGTATGATTAAACATGAGATATTATCAAAGATTTTAAAAATAAGAGCTGTAACCATAAATAAATAATACATACACTATAAATAAACACAATCTGTTTGCTCCCATATGTTTCTTAAAAGATATGATATATTTTTGCTATATCTGAAAATCTATTCCTAATGTGGTCCTTCAGGTCTTCCAATTATAATTACACATTACAATTTGTAATTGTAAAATCCCTACATTTATATATACGCTTTTATACAAACACACAGTTAAAAAAATGGGACTGCACATTTTCCAAAAACCGAAAATAGATCCTAGATCTTTCCAGTTCAATGACTTTTTCCAATGGATTAAAAAAAGGAAGAACCTGAGAGTTTCTCTTTCAGTGGGATTAAAAATTGGAACTAAGTATCTGTGGGGGAAACTACAGGATCATAATCAAAATTTGGAAATATATCAATATTGCAAAATATTAGAAAAATTGCAGTTTAATATAAACAATATCCAGCTATCTGTTTTTTTAAAGTAAAGTAATAACAGGAGTAATAAAGCATATTTTGGATGTTTTTTTCAGTTTCCACCTAACGGTTCACCACTGCTGTTTTCCCAACCTTTGTATGCTCCCTCCTTCACAAATTGGCCTTCTCTTTTTACCAAAAGTAAGGTTCTCTACCATCATTGCTTGAGATTTGCAATGTTTGGTTTTTCATATCCTGTGTGTTCCTCAGATAATATCTCATATAATGTCTGGATAGTAATTTTCTTTCCCACTAGCATTTTAAAAATAGCTCCCTTATAGATCTATAGATATAGAGCACTAAACACCAGAACTACGCACAAGAATAGTTTTTTTCTGAAAGCCATCACTCTGCTAAACAAATAACTCCCTCAACACTGTTCAACTATTACAAAGTCTGCACTACTATTACTGTCAATCTTCTCATCACTCCTTATCACTCATCCCCTCCCACTTGTGATTGTTGGACTGTAACTTTGTTGCTCTTATCTTTATGATTTATATTGACTGTTTCCTAGTATGATTTGATTGTTGATTGTACCCTATGACTATCATTAAGTGTTGTATGTTATGATTCTTTATTCTTAACGAATGTATCTTTTCTTTATGTATACTGAGAGTATTTGCACCAAGACAAATTCCTTGTGTGTCCAATCACACTTGGCCAATATTCTATTCTATTCTATTCTATTCTATTCTATTCTATTCTAT